TTGCAAAGAAAATGTCAACTTTGGGCAATCTGAAGAAAACTCTTCTGTTGACTATATTAAAATCAAATGTTTTAGAAGGCCAGTGAAGAACTGAACACTTATTCGCTTGTACTTTTAAGTATTTTCCTACTGCAATTTCATTTTGTAATGCTTTCAGAAAAACAGGAGAGTCCTGTTTCCCTTCATATATTGGGAAGAGCCACTTAGGAGAGTGAGCTTGGTGTTTAGATACAGCTTACTATTTCTCAGTAATGATTGCCTTTTCCTTGCATGTTCCACCACTGAAAGTTTCTTGCTGGTGCTCCGCCCAGGGAAGATAGCAAAAGAGTAAATAAAATATTATCTTCTAAGCAGGCAGTGTCCCACAGTTGAAGGAGATCTTTATTGAACTTATAACCTTGGAATTCTTTTTAAGTATGGAAAGTATTTAAAAAGCCATTTAATGTTTATTGCTCTAATTATGATAATAATATCGCAAGGCTAAACATTTTTGAGTTGATTGAACATTTTTATAGTTCCCTTAAAGCACTTGTGCCGTCACTGGGGTGTGTACCTGCTGCTACGTTTAATTTTAAAGAGAAGGGATCAGAGTCTGTTGTTGGAAACAAGTCTACAGAAAACGCAGCTCTGCTGAGGCTGCTGCCAGTGTGATTAAGAGCAGAGCTCTCTGAGAGCTCTCCCTATTAAGAGAAGGCCCTTCTGGCAGTGTGACCTTGTACTACCCAGCCCTGGTGAGAGGGGCAGAGGTTTAAAACACAAGGTCTTCTATTTATTATTTAATTGTTCAGGGACTGCAGAAGGTGGGGCCTTCCTCTTTCACCCACTGAAAAATACCTTTTCACTGCAGGAAGAAATGTCCTGTTTTTGCATTTGAAAGAGATTTTTTGAATGTTTGCTATAGCTGTTTTCTTAACACTCTCAAAAAGTGCCCTCTTACAGTGATGGAAGTGAATCTTCGGAACGAGTCGGTCCTGCAGCTTTGCATTTTGTGATAGCCTCAATACTTCTCCATGTGAGATGAAATTTTAAACACGCTACTGGGATGCGAAACACTTCATGTTAATGTGAAAGATCACTGGTGGGAATAACAGACAACTAATCCCATCATTTAAGAACACTCCTGTAACTGCCAAGTCAAATAAATTCACAATAAATAAAGTTTCCATTTCTCCTAGAAATTGTCCAATGAGTTTGACCATAGTCATCTTCATATTAGTTTTTTTGAGGCTAGCAATTTGTAGGAAGACAGATAAAACCGTGAATCAGGATTTAGTTATAGTCTATAAACATTGCACTATTAGATGAAGTTTATATCTCTCTCAATAATGACTTTAATTGCAAACAAATACGACAATTTATTAAAATCATCCTGATTAGGCATAAGTTGAGTTATCTCTGAGTTTGTTTCCAGTGAGAGTGCGTGTGTATGTGTGTATATCTGTAGAAAAATTGTTAGAAGTTTTTCCAACAGAGTATGGTAGGTTCATGATGTGAGTCAATGTGTAGCCTGTACAGCATCTAAGGGAAAACCCAGTTTATTGCACTTGGGCTCCTCCTCTTTTTATGGCCGTTGCTGCTCTTTGGAGATTTATCCAACGAGCAGTCAAGTCTCCCTGGCACTATTTTCTGTGAGGTGGAAGAATATCCTATGCTTCGACTGTGGTAGCGTAGTTAAAGAACCTGCATTACAAAACCTCTATCATTAGAGCTCCTTTGTAAAAGTGACCAAAAGGACATGGCAGTGGATAACAAGAACATTAATCAAAATGAAGAGTTGTTGGCAGCCTTCACTTTGCAAGGTGAGTGAGGGAAGGTGACACATGTATGTGTTTACGAGACAGAATTACAGCAAACTGAATGTGATTGTAATCTGTATTGGGTGAAAATAACAAAGGTGTATGGAGCTAAGTTTTAAAGCTGTTAATTCTGGGATTTCATTTACCGGAGCAAATATTTTTGGGGACAAACTTTTTGTTATTTTTGCATTAAGGAAAGGAGGCATCAAAAACCTACCTGAATAGCCAGGTATGAAATTAGCATAAATTATTTCATTAAGGTGACTTAGCCCTGGATAGATGTTGAATCATCTGATGGGAACAGTTACCACAGGAGATCTGGCTGTACCTTCTGCCCGTGAGGGCTGACGCTTGTGTCCGTGGGTGAGTCTGCAGTCGGCTGTCGTCGCATATTGGCAACCGTTGTCAAAGTAGTGCAGTAAAGTGGACCTGTAAAGGGCCCGTCTTGCCACAGATAGAGCTAGTGCTGAGGTACTGTGTATTTTGTGAAGTTTTTATTTATTTTTTCCTCCTGCTTGGAAATATAATTAGTAAATGGCACTGCTCTAAGTTCAAAGATTCTAATTATCCAAATATCATGTGTTGGGTTTTGGTTTTTTGTGCCTCCTGATTCACCTGGAGATAGTGTTTAATTTGTTAGTTTGATTTATTTTTTTCTGTTGCAAATTATTTTAGGGAAACAGCCAAGTACCCCTCATTCTTCTACATCGTTCTTTCTCTTCACCTGCTTTTCATGGCTACCTAACTTTCTGCTCAAACTAAAATGCACTTTTTTTTTCCCCTTTAGTATAGCCCTAGTGTTATATTATGTAAGGTTATGTGTGGAAGTTATCTAAGTAAAGGGCACCTGCAGCTTATGCAGCATGTAAATAAAATGGTGTGCACTTCAAGTTAATGCTTCACTGCTGTGACATGTGCAGCCCTCAATGAGAACAAACAAAAAAAGTCCCAGAGTCAATACCAGTACCGTAATCCAGAGTACGAAGCAGGTTTAAACATGGGAGGAAAACAATTTCTCAGAAGTAAATTTAGACCAACTCTGGTAACAGTCTCACCTTGCTATGTGGTGCTTATGGAATTAGTTTCAAAACAGCATAACTTAGAAGTTCTGCTGAAGCAGATATTTCATTATTTTTTACATTTATATTGTTGCCACCTTTGCTTTCATGATCCTGATTCCATAAGATGAGGAAGTTCTAATGAATTCAATAGAACAAACATCCACTCAGCACAAACTCTCTGTCACCTGTAAATAAAATGTGTAATTCCACTCCTGAAGCCTATCATATTTAAATGGCTCTCTAAAACTTATAAGAAACTTTCAGTAATACAAAATTGATGTTTTGGTGGTGGCAGGTGCATGCAGATCAGTTGTCTGTGCCCTTAAATTTTAATTCTTTCTACCTTCTGTTCTTTTTCCTACCTTTCACTTTCTGTCATTCTAGCTTTTATCGAACTTCCTCCCTCTTCCTTGGCTGAATCTCACAAATTTGCACAAGGTAATTAATGTTTCTTTTTTACCAGAATATTTTAGTTCTTAGGGCAAGAACTAGTAGGGCCAGTGCTTTGTTTTAGCACTGATTTTTTTTTTCCAGAGTTGCCATAAATTCTCTGAGCTCTTTGCTTCTTCCCAACTCAATCATATTTTTCAAGTTTTTTTTTTTGAAGTCCTGATTGATCTCTTTTTTTTAGTTTTAGTTTTGCCGACTCTTCGAACTTTTCAGTCATCCTATCAGTAAGATAGGATTTACTATTGCATATAAATTGGAAACATAATGCTTTTTTGCCCGTGTCTTTAACTGTTTCTGAGATGACCAAGCACTCCATAAATAACTTTTCGTGATCAGTCCCTGAGGTTTCCATGCTTCCTGTTTATAACTGTCACATATGTTAATATGGGTTTTGTTCCAAGGGTGAAGTTTGCAAATGTTTTCAGCTATGTTTGGACATGCAGTGGTGCTCCTCCTCTCTCAGCAGCAGCCTGGATGACTCAGTAGTTTACCTGTATTCAAAACGCTGATCTTAAGAGATTTTCTACCTTCATAAACTTGAAAGAAGTGTGTGCACCTCAACTTTTAGCTAATCTTACTCAAAGCTATCCATGTTGAACACCTAATCAACCAATCAATCTCTCAAATACCCTTTTGGAATATTATTTCATATTTCTGAAGTTGTGAAGTGCATTTTCATAGCCTCCAGTCTTTCCCCCAACTAACTGCTGTATTTGTGCTTATCAAAAGATGAGGAGAGAGTTCATCCTCTGAGTTTCAGCTCTCTCCAGTGTTATTCTTCTACTTAAACTGCTTCAGTAAGTATTTTCTTTTTTCTCTTCTCAGTTCTTGGTGCAGATAATGTGGAGCAAATAACGAAAAGTTACAGTGATGCTGACATGGTCAAACATTTGCTAGCTGAGGTAGGCTCCTCTCTCTAAGTCTTTTGATAGTGTGTTTGAGGACAGGTTTTATTCAGTGATTGGGAATTCTGCTTTACCTTTAGTAACTTATCAAATATTGAGGTCATGAAAAGCTGCCTGATGGGCTGCAGCATCTCAGGAGCCAAGTTTAGCAAAACTGTGGATGCCTCACAGGAGGTAGTGAGGAAAGACAGAAAGGAACAGCCACCTCCTTTCATACTGCTCCTCAGCTTCTAGCCTGCCATCACTGTTGCAGTCACATAGTCTGTCCTGGAGAAGGTGATGCTTCAAGGACTGCAGACCTAAGTGTATGTTGCTTCTTGGAATGATACGAAAGAACCCATATTAGCTTTCCAGTATTTAGCACAAAAAAACTAAACTGCACTCTAGGTAGCTGCTGTTTCTTTTCCTGCCCTATTACTGCAAATGTCTGTGAAAGAGAATGAGCTGTGTCAGGAAACACAGTAATGGATGTGTTTTGGATCCAAGCAATGAAAACATTTAACCATTGTTCTAACCAGCGCAGCAATCCATCTGAGAGTGAGGGGGGATCTCAAAGCTGTAATATGTTGACGAATAGCCAGGAAAATCTAAAGTTACACTGAATTTAAAATGTGCCTGATCAAGCAGACATTTGTTCTCATTTTGTGAGCAGAGAGATCGGGACCTGGAACTGGCAGCTCGAATTGGACAAGCCCTTCTTAAGCGAAACCATCTTCTGACAGAACAGAATGAAGCACTAGAAGAGCAGCTAGGACAAACTCTAGACCAAGTGAGCGATTTCTTTCATTTTTCTTTTCCTTTCCTTCTTAAGGTGAGAAGGATTAACAGAGACATATTATTTCACTGTGAAAGTAGGTTATTTTGCTGTTCTCAAACTACAGAAGTAAATTTAGAGGTTACTGCTCTATTCGTCATTTTTCAGTCAGCTTTCTTTGTCTAAGAATTGACTGTGAAGACTGAAAATTGTATTTACTAAGAAGTTACAAACACGATAGATATTTTTATAATATACCTATAGCAGAACTGTATTTTAGAAGCATTTGTTTTGAGCATCACTCTGATGTTTTGGTTTTTACTTACGAACCTAATAATATCGACAAAATAAACTATGTGGTAGGCATCTGACAGAATCTTTCACATAACATCACAAGTGAGGAAACAGCTAGAGAATGAGCTTGGTGGGGTGTTTACATTAAAAATACATTTAAATAAATGACATGAAAACAGAATTCTTTTCAAGATCCTTACCTCACCTTTTACTGCTAGGAATCTGTTTTTGTAATCTTTTCCTGGTTATTCTTGCTTAAAAAAAGAAGTTAACAACATATAAAATATGTTAGTTTATATAAAATATAAAGTATGCAAGTAATATATAGATACTTACAATTTGCTATAAGCCAGAATAGGCTTATGTATTTATATAAATTTGGACCTGTGATATTTCCAGAATTTTGAGGCTGCACAAATAATTTGCTGTACTGTTGTGTAACTAAAGGGTATATCTGAAGCTGGTGATCTTTTTTGTCATAGGTTAACCAGCTGCAGCATGAACTGTCCAAAAAGGATGACCTGCTTCGTGTTGTTTCAATTGCTTCTGAGGAGAGTGAAACAGATTCCAGCTGTTCCACACCACTTCGTTCCAACGAGTCTTTCAATGTGTCACACAGTCTCTTGCAGCTGGATATCCTGCAGGATAAACTCAGGGAATTGGAAGAGGAGAACCTTGCTCTCCGATCAAAGGTATGCACCTGAGTTACATCAGGATACCACAGCCAAATACTTTGTCTCCACCCATCCTCATCCTTCTGTTTCTTTTAGAGTACTGCCATGCACCTAGTTCTCCTCAGAGCTCACTAGTGTTCCTTTCCACATTCCCTAAGATATGTGAAAGAATATAGGCATGTGTGTGAGCACCCAGCACTATTTCTTGGACCTCCGAGGCCTTCAGGTCTGTGTGACCTGTTACCTGTTGTGTGGGGTAAATCTGATTGCAGTTTATTGAGTATGTGATTAGTTTCTGTATTTTAATTGATATCTCTTACGTGCAAAATATGAGCAGAGGCTTTGTGCCTTTACAAGGTCAAGGTTAGTGACCAAATGCCTAGACAAAATAAAAAGACAGGGGACTAAATGTAAAGGTTACAAGAATTGCAATCTTCAGATGCTAATTATCCCTTCTCTGGAATTGGAAAAATTTGTAAAATAGTAAAGAGACTTTTTTTTTAAAGAAAGAGTTGTTTTGCTTTTAAGTAAGCCTTTTACAATACGAGCTTGAAGGTTGCATGTTACAACACTTTTGTTAACAAAATGTTGGTCTGGACTGCAAACATCAGAATAAAGGAGAGGGGGAACAAAAGTCTTGCTGTTTGTAGTTCCAGTTCTCTGTGGTATCCTCCTTTCTCTTTTCTTCCATCTCCATTTGTTTTCTCAAACCTTCATTTCTAAAGTCAAAAATCTTTAATTTAATAATGATGGTGGAGAAAGGAATTGAAAGTATGTAAAGATCTATATTGCTGATCTATATTTAAGTTGCTCTTTCTGATTTGTTACAAACCTTCTCATGTGTTATCTAGTGCTTACAGTTCAGGGACCAGAATTTGTTAATGTGAACAAAACATATTCTTCCGCCTTGTTTTGTCTGCAAAAAATATATTTTCCTCTTTGTTTTTTTCCGAAATACTCAGCCCAAGAAGCATGTTCTCCCTAAAACTCTGAAGATCAATTGGCTGCGTTGGTAGTTCTGTGTCACAAGAACAAGGGAGTGTCAGGCTGCTTTTATGCTGTCAACCCTGCTTGTGATTATGAAACTTAGCAGACCAGGAGTGAACGTAGTCCACCTTACTAGGGAGAGTTAGAGTTAAAAAGAGGTCACTGTCATTCTGTGGTATGTCACCACCTGCCTTGAACAGCCTTGAACTATTTATGACAGTGTTAAGTGAAGTGTGTTTATCTGCAATTGCGTTATCTATGCTTCACTTGAATGGTCTTTAAAACCTACCCTTACGTTTTCTGAGTAATTTAATGGCAAATAATCCTGAATACAAAGACTGTTGTGAGCAAAGGTTAGAATCAAACTGACAATCCAAATGAAGGTGGAAATCCAGTATTTCTGATGTTGCTTAAACTTGTGGTGAGACTCAGTCTCTGGCCCAGAAAACTTGCAGTATAAAAGGACAAGACGGGGAAAGATGTAAAAATTGCTGTTCTGTTGAGAGACTTCCCTGCCATGGTGGATTTGGCCAGTATCATTTACTTTTCAAGATTTCTTTGCCTTAAGAAACTTTGAAGCAAATTCAGGTACTTACAGTTTACATTTCCTTACCAAATCACATATTTTGCAACTTTTTTTTTTTTCATTATTATTATTATTAGAGACAGGAAGGAGAACACATTTTCTGTGTGTGGGCATCTTTCATTCAACAGACTTAGGTAGCTCAGGTTGTGGTGGGGAAAAATGGACAGGAAGATAGATGCAAAGAAATTGCAAAGATAAAGGGAAATAAATTTAAGAAAATATATAATGTTAAGATGAATATACATGCAAGTATAAATGTAAGTTGCAAAACCTATACTTTTCTTGAAGGCTTGCCATCTGAAGACAGAAACCATTACATATGAAGAAAAGGAGCAGCAACTGGTTAATGACTGTGTTAAAGAGCTGCGTGAGTATCTAGCATGTACTTTGTAATGATAGAAAGGTATCTGAGCATCCAGTGCCTGCAATTCTCTTAATTATCAGTGCATAGACTCTGAAATGCTCGTTCTAAATTGCTGTTTCTCTCCAAAAATACAGGTTTATTTTTAAATTAAAAATTATACTCAAAAGCGTTTAAATTGGTAAGTGTTCTGTCCAGAACTGTGATCTTATTTGCAAAGAACTGCAGTTACTAATATGTAAGTCAAGAAGCATTCTGAAATACTAAAGAACAGTCCTTGTTTTCTGTGGTGGCTCTGTAACCTGGGATACATTATTTTATCTGCAGTTATTTTGTATGTGCCACCTTCTTTGCAGCATATAAATAACCTTAGGCTTATCTTCTAAGATTGCTTTAGAAGCATACCACAACCGTAAGGTTGTTATTTGCTTTTTATTTTTTCCAGACAATGATAAAACATTGTGAATGAACTCCTAGCTGTGAGTTACTGTGGTTCCTGTGCAAAATCCTTGGCAAATAAAGTTATTTCGTTTAACTTCTATTTTCCTATATTGCGAAGTTCAGTAACTCCTGTTTTGCCTAACCATATAGCACATATAAAAACACTATAGACAGAAATAATATTCCCCCAAAGGATTTCTAGACTATGGTTTTAGAATTTATGCCTTCAGGAAAAAAAAAAGTATCTAACTGTGAGGCTAATTGTCAGCAGGCTCATGGCAGGCTCCTTCCTACAGCAAAATTGTGACTTCTGTCAATTAAATGTGTATCTAGCAAATTTACAGTATTTCTGAAAATAATTATTTATTGCCATCAAAGAGACTCCCTTTTCTAACTCAAAACCTGTTATGATTGATGGAAAATCTTAGTTTTTAAAAATAAATAAGGTAGATGCTGAGATGTTTAAAGGCCGTGTTTGTAAGTTTGTAGTCTATTCTTTATGCTTGACCAGACGTTATTGTGACTTTTTTATGCTTTCAGGGCAGATAAACAGTTTCTTAAATGTCGTTGTATTAAAATATTTCAGTCTTTGAGGTGCTTTGTCATCTTACTTAAAGGACCAAACAAAAAGAAAGAGGAAACAGGAAATTGTATATATTGGGTCTTTGGGGAATATAGTCACCCGAATAAAAAGCTAAATAGCTGTATGTTTTGAAGAACTTCTGTCTTTTCATATATCACTGACATATGTCACTATATTTACAGTGTTTGGGGGTGTGTTTTTTGTTAGCTTTTCTTACCTTTTTCTCTCTCTTTTTTTTTTCCTAATATGTTACCTTTACCTTTAAAATCAAGTCTCTTCCTTTCTCCTGCTCCCCTCTGCTTTCCTTTATTTTGTATTTTGTGGATGTTCCAGGGCTCCTGCTTTTACAAAATGTGACTTAATTTCCTGATGTCTTAGGAAATCAAGTCATTTACAGATTGCTGACACTCACAGGCCCCCTATAATTTTCATCGTGTGGTGGCAAAAGATTTCTGCTGCCTAAGTTCTTCTATTTTGTAGGGCAATCGAATGCTCAAATTTCCAGAATAACAGAGGAGCTGTCAGAAAAGAGCGAGGAGGTGCTTCGCTACCAGGAAGAGATCTCATCCCTCTTGTCTCAGATTGTTGATCTCCAACATAAACTCAAAGAGGTAAAGGAGCAGGGACGTGTGTGTGTGTGTGTGTGTGTGTGTGTGTATGCGTGTGCACATGTTTCTGGCAGGGGAGAACAGACTTGTGAGCCACGGGGCCACAGCACAAGAGAGCAGCCCTGTCCACTCCCTCCAGGGAATCGGCTGAGAAAATAATTGGCATCTTTTTGTGTTTTCAGCATGTGATTGAAAAAGAGGAGCTGAAGCTTCACCTGCAAGCTTCCAAAGATGCTCAAAGGCAACTGACAGCAGAGGTACTTAAGGCTTCTCTGTGTATGTTTGGAGTAGAACATGAGAGGGAAAAATAAAAGAAAATAGAAAGTGGGTTTGGTTGGTGTTTTGTTTGTTTGTTTGATTTTTCTATACGCTTCTAGCCAAATGTTTGGAGAATAATTTCTAATAATAATTTCTAATAATAAATAATTTATCTAAGAATAATTTCTTAGATAAATCAATTAAAAAATTTTTGTAGTTCACAGGAGTCGGAAAGATGAGGGTGGTGTGCAAGCAGGTAGATCTTATTATTTTCATTTGTCGTGAAAGAATATTGGCTTAATGTGACCCTGACTGGTTATATCAACAATACGGTAGCTCACTAGATTTTGAAGTGCTCTTCTATGCTTCTTTTGCATCTCTGGTTACTGTGTTTAGAGTGGTATTGATGTGTCATGCTTTGGATTCTACTGTACCTTTTCCTCCTTGGAGTTTTACGTGGCACTTCATGCCTTATCCCTAAAATCATGTGGCTGCCATGGGGAGCACCATCTTCTGCTACTTCCTTTTCCAGATGCTGACATGTGCAGTGCGTGCAGAGGAATACAGTAGTGTTGAATCAGTATCTTCATTACAAAGCTCTCTACGTTTCATTTTGTCTTTTCCTTCTGCTGAAGCTTACAGGCAGCACTGATGTCCTCTTTCCTCTTTCAGCTACATGAGCTGCAGGATCGGAACATGGAGTGTCTGGGGATGCTGCAGGAATCGCAGGAAGAAGTGAAGATGCTGCGCAGCAGAGCCAGCTCTGCTGCTGTTCTCTGCCGTCCCCAGGCACGTGGAGCATTCCCTGGGGTAATAAGTGCCACTAGCTTGGTGTATAACCACTGGTAAATACGGCCCAGAGTAGCAGAAAACTAAGAGGAAAAAACAGCTACTGCTGGAGCCACAGAGAGGACTATTGTGCAAGAGGCGAAGGGGCTGATCTTACAGTCTCTCAATTCTTTGATGTATTCACTTCTGAGAATTTTGTGCTTCAGGAAAACAGTTATTCACTTGCCATATTGTGATGTTAATACAGTTTCCTTTTTAAATGACTGTTCTGTTAGTTACAGGAATTGGCATGTTCTACAGCCAATGCTCAGTTGTGCTAGTATGTCATTCCATGTTGATGTGAATTTTATACCTTGACAGAATTTCTCTAAGAAATGAAACAAAAAGATTTTTTTTCAAGAGTTCCAAGAGGATTTTAATGTGGTTTATGAAGTAGTTTTATGTCTTTACCTCCTTATGTGATGAAATTTAAAGCATCATCAGAAATGCATGACTTTAATTGAATTGCAAGAGATGACCAACTCAACGGAAGAAGTTTTTGAAACTTTTATTTTCCTCCACTTAGGTCGTCTATTCAGGTTCAGGTTCTGATTACTGTATTCTTACAAGTTTCTGGGTGTCTTGGCAATTTTTCAGGTTTTGTGTGGCTGTTTTATATAGTATCCACCATGTATATCTTGGCTTTGCAGGAGATGCTCTTGCAATTGTCACTTAATTTAAGAACGCAACATAAAGTATCCCCAAGAAGTGTAGCTATTGCTAATGTGAACTGAACCCAAACTAGTTACACATAGGTGGAACTGGGATGGAAAATCCCTGCCTTCCCCCTGGAGACTTAGACTATAGCACACTGCTGCAGCTGCTGGTATGGGGGAGGCGAGTGCAGACTTTAGAGTTTTTAAAATGTTTTCTGCTAAAATTGTTAGGAAGAATACTGGAATCCAATTGATCAGTTCTTTTGGTTTGTGTTTTTCTTTAGGATTCCCTTGCAGCAGAAATTGAAGGAACAATGCGGAAGGAGTTGTGTCAGGGTGAACAACCTGCTCCCTCTAAGCAAAAGTACGTTTATCAGCCTTATGTATATACGATTTGGGCATTCTTCCAGATGCCTCCAATGAATGAGGTGAAACTGAATTCTGGAAATATGTAAGCCTGAATGTTCCCGCCAATATGTCGTCTTCGTTACTAAAAAAAAAAAAGTCTTTAGTGTATTTGATAGTTTTCTCAGCATTGAAACCTACCATTCTTATACAATTCTGAAAGTTGGGAAATTACTAGAAGGATTTTATTTCCTTTTTGAATTTGTCCAAGGCCCTGAAAGACTTCTCTTGGAGCCCTTAATTCTAAGTAAGGGTTAAATAGACATCCTTGACAGTTTAGCACTGATTATCAATGGAGTATTTTGTTCTTTCAAGTCAAAGTGAGCGGTAATTCTGATATTTTGTTAGAACAGTATTTCTTACAACATGAGTTTCTTAGGCAATCCTTTTTTAGCCATGTCTCTGCAGCCTTGGGGAAGTCTGTTACTCCAAGTTTTGTCTTCATTTTATCCTTTCCAGAATGCATCCTTGACAGTTTAGCACTGATTATCAATGGAGTATTTTGTTCTTTCAAGTCAAAGTGAGCGGTAATTCTGATATTTTGTTAGAACAGTATTTCTTACAACATGAGTTTCTTAGGCAATCCTTTTTTAGCCATGTCTCTGCAGCCTTGGGGAAGTCTGTTACTCCAAGTTTTGTCTTCATTTTATCCTTTCCAGAATGCTTCTGAAAATATCTTTTTTTTTTTTTTTTTTTTTCTGCTTGGCTCTAGGGTTCAACAGAAACGAGTATTTGACACCGTCAGGGTTGCTAACATCACCCGTGGTCGGTCGTCCTCTTTTCCTGCCCCGCTGCCGATCCCCGGCTCCAATCGGACCAGCGTGGTCATGACAGCCAAGCCCTTTCAGTCCGGGCTGCAGCAGCCCGGGCGCCGCGGGCAGGCGACGCAGAGCAGTGGCTCCGAGAAGAGTCCGAGGTAGGGCACACAGCTTGTCACTGGCTTGCTCGATTAAGTGACTCAAAACTAGGCCCGAGCTGGATCTCTGCTGTGTGGGGGCAAAATACTTACTTTAATGGTCTGAATATCTACTGTAATGTAATTCCTTTTATCCTAGGGACACGGAAAAGCCAGGTCAGCCCGGAGACCCTGGAGACAGTGACCTGGCCACGGCGCTGCACAGGCTGACCCTCCGTCGGCAGAACTACCTGAGCGAGAAGCAGTTCCTCGAGGAGGAGTGGGAGCGCAGGATGCGCTTGCTGGCTGAGCAGAAGGAGGAGGCCAGTGGCTGCAGCACCCCCTCAGAAAGCTCCTCTTCCCTGGGCACCAGCTCCGAATTCACAGATCTTTCTGCCAGCTCTGGTAACTTCCGTGTCCTCCTACCAGAAAAATTACAAATTGTCAAGCCCATTGAAGGTAAGAGGATGATCTTCCTTCCTTCCTCAGCAGAAGAGTATTCTAGATTAATTTGTTAGATAAATTGTTGTTGCTCTGTGTGCAGATAGGTATGATATGCAGTAAGACGGAAAAATAATATTCTGTAGGTCCTGTTTGGTTTTCCTGCATGGCACCAAGGGTTAGACTTGTTATTCTTGGTGTTGCCACGCAAGTGCGCTACAAGTACCACAGTGGCAGCACCAGTTGGCTGAGTTGTTTTGAGCATGTACTGTGTAATTCTGCATTAATGGCCGGGAGGCCTTTCTCAGCAGTTCTCTTTTGTCACCCCAGGATCTCAGACCCTTTTTCACTGGCAGCAGCTTGCTCGACCAAATCTAGGCACCATTCTCGACCCAAGACCAGGAGTTGTTACAAAAGGTTTCACCCCTCTGCCTGATGATGCTGTGTACCACATCTCTGACTTGGAGGAGGATGATGAGGAAGAGGGGGAAGGAGGTATAACATTTCAAGTGCAGCCTTCCTTCCTGGAGAAAAGGAAACATGCAGCGAAAAAGCCAGTGGCAGGGATTTTCCTGCCACCTATTACTTCAGCAACTGTACCACTCACTGGTAAGAGCATGGTTAGAGTTTTTCCTCCTTTTGCATGCTGATTTTTGAAGTTTTAATCCATTCCTGGTGCTTCTGTGGGTTTTGGCCCCCGCACTCCACTCCCCCCAAATCTCAAGTCATAAAATCAAGTAGCAGTCTGCTTGCAGTTAGGATGCTTGGCGCTTTTCTGGGATAGGATCAAAATCTGAATTATATACTACATGCTAAGCAGTTGTCAAATTAAAACAGCTGAAGATGACTGGCTTCTTCAGCTTCATTTTAAAAGTGTCCTGTTTCGTTAGTAGAAAGTGTTAAACTTATATGCTGTGGAAAATGGTGCCCTGATAGAAGATGAGAGTGAGTAGCCTAAGAGAGGAAGAATCATTTTACGTTAAAATTTTGGGGGGAACATGCTGTATTGTGAACGTTGATCTTATTGGGTGTTTCAAAGCACAAATGCAGAGGTGAGGTTGAGTTTGCAGAAAGGGATAAACACTCCTGCTTTGTTTTCCTTGTTACAAGGACTCCTTCACTGTTCACATGCTGAGTTCTCTGTTACTGCAGTTGGGGATATCAGACTTAAACTTCTTTCCAGGATTCTAGCTTTTATTAAGTTTTCTTTTGCTTTAAGAATCTACCTCCAAGAACTTTGTTTCCTGCAGAGTTCCAAGGTGCTTTTAGATGAGCTGCTTCCAATACAACCAAGAACAGGAGACGCAGTCGCTTCCAGCTGTCGTCTCGGAGCAGCTGGTGAACGCTGGCAGCCCGTGCAGAATCACCCTGGGGCTTAGTTCAGTTTGGGTGTCTCAAAGTTGGTGTTCGCTGTTTTCGAGATGATTAGCATTGGAACAAAGTAGTAGACCATACTGTTTTCACTGCTGTTGTTCTCTGTTAAAATATTTATATATAGTAGTGATAATAATACTGTCTTAAGCTTTGCTTGATGAGTCCTTTTCTGTTTTTATTTTTGCTCTCACTGGTTGTAAATGTTCCACTGCAGCCTCAAATCCAGGGAAATGTCTGTCTTCCACAAACTCCACGTTTACCTTCACTACCTGTAGGATCCTTCACCCATCTGATGTCACCCAGGTGACTCCCAGGTACGATGACGTCTGACGTTCTAGGAGCTGCTGCACGGGATTAAACAGTTGCTTTCTGGCAACATACAGACCAGCTTTAAAAAAAATAGGCAGAATAGGCATTAATTGCTTCTTAGAATAGATATATGATAAATGAAATTTCCTATTTAAGCATTTAAATTTACTTTTTTCTAAATTACCCTGACCTATTCCCTACTCTCACTGTGGGAAAATTCAACTATCCCCTTTATAATTACAGCCTTTAGCATTAGTAATATCCTACATGCTGCCTCACTATTTTTTTAAACTACATTATTACTGGTTATTTCTGTGTATATTTGATTCAATAGAATACAGATGATCATAGTTCATATTTCATATTCTATAAGATTTTTTTAAAAGTCTTTATTATAAAAGTTTTCATTACACTTGGCTGTCATTACATACTGGCGTAGTTAGTTGGTTATATCCTCTTTGGAACAGTGTGCACCAGTTGTCTGGTTCACCAGCTGTTGACCGGCTTGAATTTTCCAGTTTGTGTGTGTGTGTGTGTGTGTGGGTAGTAGGATAGTTTGGATAGTTTGCAGCTGATAAGCAGCCTGTCAAGGTTGTATTGTAGGTAGTTTTGGGAACTCATGTTTCAGTTGTCTGGAAGCTTAGCAAACCTTCACTAATTAATGTTTTCTTCAACAGAATTCTTTTTTTTTTTCTTTTTTTTTTCCCTCATATTTCATCACCTTATATTATAGGTCTTAGCATTGTTTTGTGATATATGCAATTAAAAACTCCTGCGTGGCAGCTGGTCTTGGAAAGTTTTAGTCTCTCTTGTTCAATAATAGAAAATAGATATATATATATATTTTTAAGTTAAATAGAGGTGTAACAAAACAGTGAGTTTGACTGTATGGACTAATAAATTTTAAAATGGGGATTTTTTTTTCTCCACCGTGGCCATATACTAGAAATTGTATACAAAAGATAAAATTTTATCCTTACTGTTCCGCAAAATAGAGTAATGGCAGGAACTTCTCTGTCAGCATAGTATCTCCTAAATACCTTGCAGAGCAGAAATACTGACACCGTTAAGCTGGACCTAGCGAAGCTCGTGCCAGCCGCTCGCTTCCTCTCAGATCCCCCGCGTAGTGCAGGGCAGGTGCCGCGCAGGGAGTCGGTGTTTACGTGTCCTCCGTGTCGTGTGCTTTGTTTCAGCTCCATGTGTGCTCCCTTCTCCCTCGGGAGCAGCGCGGCGGGGAGCTCCCCGGCCATGTCCTACCGGCTCAGTGTGGGGGAGGTCCTCACCAACAGAGGAGACTCAACCACCACCTTGAGCAGCACCCGCAGCCTGGCCAGGCTTCTGCAGGAACGAGGCATCTCGGCCAAGGTTTATGATAGCCCCATCTTAGAAAAACTGCCTCTGCTGCAGCCCTCTCAGACTGTCCCCATTCCTTCTACCCCACCAAACTCTCCCTCACGTTCGCCTTGTCCTTCCCCTCCACCGTTCGAGCCTCGAGCACATCTCTCAGAAAACTTCCTGGCCTCACGGCCCGTGGAGACTTTCCTGCAAGAAATGTATGGCCTGAAGCCCTCTCGCAACGCTGCGGACGTGGGCCAGCTGAAGATGAACCTGGTGGACAGGCTGAAGAGGCTGGGAATTGCCCGGGTGGTCAAGCCCCCTGAGGCCCAGGACCAAAGGAAAAACCAAGGGATGGAGGTTGGCCTGCAGAGACAGGACTCAGCTGTATTTTTAAATGCAGGTAACAACTTAATGGCAGGGCTGAGAAGAAACCAGAGCCTTCCAGTCATGATTGGTGCCCTGGGAGCTCCGGTTGGCACACAGTCATCAAAAATGGATATCCTAAAGGAAAACTGACTGGTTTGAAAAACAGCTGATTCGTAGCATGGTGAATAACAAATGAGGGCTAAATACTTAGCACAGGCGTGGTTGGATGCGTTACAGAAGTGTAGGAGAAGGCATGTGCATGTTAAAATTTGTGGGAGAGACACGTGTCAGGATCAAAGAGAAAAGGACAAGGTTTGGGTTTGAGGAAAAAGGGCACTATGGAACATGAGAAAGAAGAAACCAAAGCTTCCTTTGAGGCTCTTTCCAGGATCTGTCTTAGCTTAAGAAAAAATAAGAGACCATAGTAGATATTCTCAGTATTTTAGTCTTTTAAACTGTACATTAGAACTGTCTTGCAGGTGCTGTTCTATTTTTCCGCCGTCTGATCAGAGTGTTTTACAGCTGTTGGCAGTCAGACCTTGCCACTTAGACGCAGTATGAAAATCCAGCGGTCTGACTAGCATCATTGGTTCAGGTTTCTCTCTCTAGTAAACAAGCACAGGAAGCTGGAGCCTTTCGATTGCGGTATTCTCCAGGTCAGAGACTGATGTCCTTTTCTAACTTCTATCCATTTTAAGAAGCAGGGGAGAGAGCCTTTCTCTGTGAGGAAAGGCTGCTTCTGTTTATGAGAACGGAAATTGGTGGTCAGGGTTTGTATTTTGAGGTGCAGTTGTGCTAGTGAAATGTTAACAGAAGTTTCTTTCTTTCCAGAGGCTCTGAAGCACACAGGAAGGTGCAATGAGTTAAGAATTAACAAGCAGGAAAGTATTTAGTAGCTACAAAAAAAATGCAAAAGTGTTTTATTTTGCGCTAAGGTAACTTTCCAAAGTGTGCTGTGCATCTTTTTTTTTAATGAGGGTAGTTTTGCACATACAAAAAACTCAGGCACTTGTCAGTGTTACAAAGGGAAGTAAAACCTAGGTGCTTGATTCAGGGTTTGCTTTTGCTTGACCTGAGCAGAGAGCATTCACTTAAAGACAAGTGTTGGAAGTTCTGCGATCAGATGTTCTCTCGACAGGTAGACAGCTACGTGTTGCATTTCGTGCATGTCGTTCAGATAGTTCTAGTTTCATACAGGATTCTGTTTAAAACATCTCATTAAGAAAATCTTTGGGGATTGTTTTAGATCTGTGGTCAGAGCAAAATGCAGTATTCTGCACTCTGAAACAGCAAGGAAAATGAAAGCTGGTGTTCCTCGTAGCACTTTATGGATTTAATCGGTTTTGTCTGCGTTGGAATCTTGTGTTTTGATGATGCAGAATGATTCTGAATCTGTGTCTGAACAAAGCTGAGGCAGGCTTTCTGCCTCAAAAAAATCCCAATTCTGTTGGAAAAATCCGATTTGCCTGAGTGGCATTTTGCAGAATATTACAACCACTTTGCCTTTTGGATTCAGGCGGGAAAAATCATCCCATCCAAGGTCCTAGCCATAATTAAATAATCACATAAACACACATGATCACATAATTTGTAGTTAACTTACAGGAAAAATAATAGATTTGCCTGAAATTCCTAAGAGGATTAGAATCCCCAAGAGGGTCTGTGCTAATGGTGAGAATAGAAACAGATTTTTACTTTTCATATAATTTTTCATTGTACTTTTCAGCATTCTAAAGTAATTTTTAAGGTTCACTTCTGTACGACTAGATAAAACGGTCAAAGTTTATCCTGCCTGTTACAATGTATGTGGAACACAGCTGATATCTCTGTGGGATCGTGGAGTAGAGCATCGGGGTAAAGACACAGATTTGAACCTGGCAGGAGCCACGTCCACCATCATCAGGGCCGTTGTTGCCACAGGGTTGTGTGGAGCAGTGCAGGAGAGGACAGTCTCATAAAGCAGTTTATAGGTATCTTATAATGTGGCCTTTCTACTTTTACAGCCCTATAGATCTTATGGTAACTCTTTGTGATATAGTAGTATTTTCTAAAAGAAAAGGAGCAATCACTTCCAACTTGCACAGGGATTCTCAGCAGAAGCTTGTCTGTCAGCAGCGCACAGAGTATCCAGGAGCTCCTGGAGTTGCCTTTTGCTCTCTAAGCAAAATGTTACACTCATAAAAGGTGAATTTTATTTAAAATACTATGTACGGGTTAATTTTGTTTTAAATGAAAACTTTAATTTCGTGTAAGTATTTATGCTGTACACAGGGTTTTACTGAGCTAAGTATAATAATGGAGGGAGGGTGGTATTTTGTTCCCCAGTAGACTAAGGGCTGGGTATTTGCGGGGTATTTGCAGCTCCCCAGGAAACAACAGGTATGAATGAACAGAAGATTAGACAGAGAAGTATATAATGTCTCAAACATATGTCCATTTTATACACACTTCTTACAGAGGAACCATGTAGGCTATGGTTAAACTTCCCAAGGTGGTTCACTGTGTTCCTAACAGCTTCATTAAATAACTCCAGCCATCGCATCACTGTGTGTTAGCAGCAGAAACAACAAATCGACTGAATCGGAATTCCCCTGGCAGACCAGGCTCTGGCTACAAGCAGCACGTTAGGGAAATGCACGACTGTGTTGGGACACTTCCACATGCCACGACCTGACAGCATGATCTGGTTCGGTTCAGCCTGTGCTGTGGGTGGGCCTGAAGCTGCCGTCGATGGGTGCGTGGTCAGGTGCTTGGCACGGGGCAGGGCGAAGGGGACGGGTTTGCGGCGCGCGGGCCCGGCCGCGGCACTGCACGGGCTTGTGCCAAAACGGGAGAAAAACGCAGTGTTTCTGCAGCATCTGAAGGCTGTCGTGATATAGGAGCCAGCGGGGCTTCTGCTGCCTCCCAGCAGAGGGGAAACGGCCCTGCGTGCCCGGGATCCAGCACCAGGTCCTTGGATGCAGATCGGTGCGACTTGGTTGAGGGGAAGGAGGCCTGGGAGGTTTGGGAAAGTTTCTGTTAACTGGCAGGTTTGGGACAGAACCAAAAAATAAAAGCAGGTGATACAAGGAAAGGAATTATCCGTGCATGCAGAACTTCCAAGAGACTTGGAAATATTTGCGGAACTTCTTCACTCAGATTCTGAGATGGCTTAAACTAGGTACAAATTTAACTTTATGCCTACAGAGCTAGAAAGCTGTAAGAGTTTCACTGACTTTGATAAATTCAGTGATACTTGCACGCTCAAAATACCCGTGGTCAGTAAAGTGGAAAGTCTTCTGTACACAAAAAGCAGAACAAAAGGAAGAAAATTGGGTTCAAGCCTCCTTTGGCCGTTGCACAAGGGGATAACACACAACGTTTAAATGATCTGGGAACCTGGTATTTTTTTTTCATCTGCTTTTTGCACCTACTGTTGTTTCATGGTGGAATGTAAATTTGATAATAAACATGTATAACATGCCCTTTTTCATTATACTGGTCATTTTGTGTGGTTTGTTCTAGGTGTCATTTTCTATATGTCTGTGTTCTTTAATTTTATTAGTCATGTTTAAAAATTAGCTATAAATTTAGTGACTGGTAGACTGTGTACAAGTTGTAAAATCTGTCTGAGGAATGGATTAAAACTTTCATCAGGCTGTGCCAGGCCCAAGCAATTAAAGGCACAATATAAGATGCAGTCAGGCTTCAATTCCAGCATAAACGTGTGATGATTGAACTGGAAAACAACATTTAAAGATTAGTTTCTGCTGCAGTTCGAGAAGTTCATTATTTTGGAATGAGAAGAACACAAAAGACGATGAGCTCATCAGCTCTGAAGAGATTATTTGAAATTGAGCCTCACTTTGAATATATAGAAATAGTTCATGTTTTCTAGTACTATTCTATTTTTTTTCCGTGTGCTAGATCTAAGTATCAGGGTTGCTCTGTGTCTTTTTCGTGGAGGCACAGGTGTGATTTCTGCCTGCTTGGAGGCCCTCGCACCGTTTCCCGTGCAAGGGCGGGCGCCGTGGGGCACCCGCACCGTTCCTGTGCCGCGGCTGTTGCGGCTGGTGTCCCCGGGCCCTGCGGCCCCTGCGGGAGGCCTCGCTCCCGTCCCCCGCGCGCGGAGCTGCCGGATTCCGCCTGGTGCGGAATGGCCAGGGGCTCATCCCGTGTTGCCGGCCGGCTGCCGCGGTGACGAGAACCTGCGGGAGGAGAGACCCCCGGGAGCAGCCCGGGATATCCCGGCTCTCCCGAAGCGCCCGGCAGGGCGGCCGGCGACGCGTCGTGCATCAGCATAAGAATCCGGGGATTTGTTTCAGCCTCTTCTCCTGGCTATAATAAGGGAAGAGGTTGGGTGCTTGGGGGATTCTTCTTCTGGGAATGGAAGAAGTTGAAGAGATCAGTTATAAAAGCAGCTTCGATTCAACAAGGCAGGCCTGAAGGGTAAGGACCTTGTGGGCCTCCTGCCGTGGTCACACCTGCTCCTTCTAGCATTACAGTAAAACTGCAAGATAAGACTTTTCTTCTACTTATTTGACACCTGCAGCTCTCACTAACCTTTCAAGGTTAGTGTGTCTGTGTGTTGGGGAGTGCGGGGAAGGGAGGACTGAGCAAGCTCTGCTGCTGCCTTTCCAGCTTGCTTTTTTGAAGTCAGTTGAAGGTCATGTTTAAGGCAGCATATTCAGCTAAAGCAGCGTATTCTCGTTATTGTTATCTGGGCTATCATCACAATCTGTGTTCTTGATTCATCATCTGCTTTGGTAAATGGGAGGTAGCTCATTTTTATGACTCCTGCTTGCAGAACCTCTAAACGCTTGGTGGGCTCCTGCATGCTCTTGTCTATGTGTCTATACCAAAACATCTACACCACAACAGGCGTAGCTGTACAGTAGATGATAATACAGTTGTCTATATGGTACAGACAGGATGAGTCTCTATTACTTTGTGCCTAAGGAAACATCATATTAGACCCTTTGCTATGTGTGTGTGAAGAAGTTTTTGAGATGTTGCATGTATAGCACTTGGGGAACTCCAATAAAAGTTGTAGATGTATATGCAATGCTCATGGTGGTGGCTAGGCTGTTTTATGACCCTCAGTACCACACTTACCGTGTCTTCATAAGAAAATAGGCAGATATGTAAACCTGACTGACTCTTCCACGCTTGCCTTTCAGCACTTTGAACAGTGTTTCTGGTGTGTGGTCATGACTCCCTTTGCATTCTGTGCT